TAAAGTGCCAGTGGACACATGTGGTCACATGTGGCACAAATATGTGAGGTCAGGTCGACGGTGTTTGTTAGTCAGCATTGTTCATTGTACAGCCTGACAGCAGCAGGAAGGAAAGATCTGCGGAACCTCGCCTACACAGTGAGGCTGAATAAGTCTGTCACTAAAGCTACTCTCCGGAGCGGACAGAGAGTCATAAATGTTAGTTTGTACAGGACCCTCCTCTCCACCACCTGATGCTCTTTGTCCAGGGGACAGCCCATGACAGAGATGGACTTCCTGATGACCTTGTCCAGATTCTATCTGGCTTGTACACAGGCCAAAGATGATCCATGTTGTGGTCAGCTCTGCCTAGTGGGGGCAAGGCTGCCGATGCATACACTTTGGCATTGCTGAAGAACATATCCAGTATTTTGTCTCCTCTTGTGGGACAGGAGACATACTGTGTGAACAGTGGCTGTGTAGAAGCCGAGGACACATGGTTCGCCTCGCAGCAAGAAGGTCCTGGGTTCGAATCCCGGTCGGACCAGGGCCTTTCTGAGTGGAGTTTGCATGTTCTCCCCGTGTCTGCGTAGGCGACCCCGCTCCCATCTCTGTGTGGAGTGAGAGGACAAGTGCCCAAAAATAACAATTGTAAACCGCTTTGTGACTCTGGTCTGTGAAGGACGGTATATAAATAAAGGTTACTTACTTACTCTACCACCTGATGGTGTGGAATATGTTTAAAGCGATCAGAGCATGTGATTTATCCTCCACGTTTCTGTGTATACTTGGAGGCTGGCATCCCGGTACTCCCGCTGGTAGCGCGCCAAAGCCGCCATCTCGTCAGTCATGGAGAGGGACCTCACATTCCCAGTGATCACGGCGGGCAACACAGGTCTGGGTCAACTTCTCCCTTCTCCCTACCTTCCATCCTGCGCGGCAGCCTCTGGGTGTTTACCATAGAATCTCTGCAGGGATAGAGTTTTTGTCCAAGGGGGGACCGCTGCTTTCCCACTCAGCGCCAACAGCTGATCCCCGGTGTAAACAAAGGGAACGCGTGGACATATTATAAAGAAATGGTGGAAAATTACAGCATGTCTCACATTTCTAAGTGGGCAGTGACTTCTTCTGGTATAGATGAACCTTTCCACTTCTACTTTCCAATTCAAGCCAAGGCCTCAGCATATGTATCCTTTAAGGCCAAATGCAACAGTAAAACATCTACAACACGGAGGCCCTTAAATGACCAGGAACTATTCACTTTACTCAATGATGAACAGTCTACACATAAATTCGGGTTGGATATTACTTGTTCATGCAAGGACTCCCCATCAATTATTCATTGCACTTTTAACGTCGCCGCACAGAGCAAATTGGACTTTTTTATGATGCATTTCTTTGTGGTTCATCTCATCTACATATGGAGCTGCTCTTTCAAGAGGAGACGAGAGCCGAAAGAGAGCGGAGGCGTCCAAGTTCAAAGAGCACAACAGGAGCATGTTCTAAGTTTGAGAGTGTAATATCTGAAGCAAACATAGAGATAAAGCAGTTCCACCTCTCCGAGTGCAGATTGTAGGGCTGAGAGAAAAAAAATGCCTTTCTATTTTCTAGGAGCCTGTGGATTTAAAAATAAAATCTTTATAGCTATAGCTCTGCAGTAATCTCTGAATGATGTTGAAGAAAAGGCAACATCGCAGAATATGGGAAATGGGTTTTTAAAAAGCTTGGTGAGATATTTTAGTAAAAAATAACGCAGCTCCAGAAACATGGATGTATGTGGGGAACGTAAGCTCAACCAATCCATAGCGTCAAAAGCATTCTACGTGTGGTATTCCGGAGGGTGTGGTGGATATTATTTAGCTGGATCCACATTAAATTAAACTAAAGGACGCAGGTCCGTTGTGATAACACAGGGGCTGATACAGAAGTTACAAAAGTCATTACATTTATTACATGATTCTGGTCACTTTCACATGGTTCTGGTCACTTTTATCCATTGTGGTGCTATCTGATGGTTGCTCTGGGACAGCAGACAACTTGGATCTGGGTAAGGCAAGGCGGCGACAGTCCACCTTATGGCTCCATGGCATCAATCTGGGTTAGCGCAGTAGCCGCTCACACACATGAGCTGGGTTGAAAGCCAGCACCGCGGGCTGTACACTGTACACCAAGTCACGGCAACACAAGCAGACCCATGGCAGCAGCACTGAGAGTGGGACAGCGACGTAAACATGACATCCGGAAGAAAGAGAGTGAAAGAGGACGTGTGAAAGAGGACGCTTACTTTTTATTGGGTGATTGACGGGACGAATAACCAATAGAAAACGAGGACAAGAGAAAGTGGCATAGAGCCCGTCTGCAAGCTGTAATGCCACATACGTATTGTAGTTCTAGATGGAAGATATCAGTTATTAAAACCATGTTTTTGCGATTGATCTGAGATGTGCTTTTCATTTTCATCTTACATTGAGATCACTTCATCACCACAGAGCTGGTTTTCTGTAGTTTTCTGAAATTTCAGCGGCTTCACAAAAAGATTTTACTTGCTGACCCTGAAGCTCCGCCCACTTTCAAGCTCAATAAAGCAGCATTTTAGACATAATGGTACTTAATTTGGTTATGTGATTATTATTTTAAAAGTGGTTGAATGAATATATCCATGAATCCATGATTCATGAATGAAAGATAACACGGCTATTAGAAGTCGACTGACCGAGTGCTGATGTCACCATAGTGTTAGGCTTAATGCAGAAGAGGTCGATTTGGACCATGGTGTGCCATTGGAAGCACATCATGAACATGAACAAACTCACCTCTTCAGGAGTACTTGTTACAGGCCCCACGCTGTTTACAGATGTTGTCAGCTCCATCCATGTGTTTTTTGAGCCCCTTGATGCCACTTTTGAGGCTTCCAAATAGAAAGAATTTATTTTTTTCCAGATTGTTCATAATGGTCTCAATCTCCTGCTCCGTCACGTTTTCTTTCTTTGCCGTTTCCTCTCAATTGTTGCAAAAACGGGGTGTGAAACAGGCAGACTTTGCTGCATATTTCTAGGCGTGACTTTCATAAACGGGCAAATGTTATAGCGACCGTCGTATAACACCTGTTGACGTGAAAGTTAGCTAGTTCCCTTCAATAACAAATGAAAAGCTTCTTTATAACACCATACCAGATCTTTGGGGAATCTATGAAATTCTGTTGATTAGTTGCACTCTGGTTTTGACTGCAGTTGACTCTTTGTTGTTTCCATTTATTTTCAGACATACTGTTATTACAAACTAGTATAGTATGTAGCCATTATAACCGTCTCTGGTTCAATCCAAAATGGCAAATATGCTATCTAGCGGGCGGCTCATAACCGCAACAGTGGCTGTCTGTATCTTTAGAATCTCTATCTGGTCCCTGGTCCTACCCGATTCTTGTTTGTTATAAAATGGTGGCAGGATGAGTCATCGGTGCTTGCTCGCACCAAGTCCCAAACATTAGTTGCAGTGACGTGTTCTGGCTAGTTCTGGTTCTGGTTCAGAATGTAATTTTTAATTTAAAGGACAAACGTGGGACAACCTTTTGCTGAAGGAAAATGTCGACCTTTTCGTGCAGCGCTATGAGCAAACATTTGGGGAGATTTGTGACATTTAAAATATTCCAGTGATTTAGGACAAAGATGCAAAGTCAAACTAAAGCCAAGGATTTATGAGAGCATGGAGAAACTGGTCAAATATACCCACAAGACCCTTTGAGAAGAACATTAATTCATGTAGCACATTTCATACAGGACTGCCTCTCTATTGGGTTTACAACCAGTGGGGGCAGGTCCCAGCTCAAAAGTGGCCAAAATGACGTGCGCTGACAGGCTTGCAATAACAACCCGGGCCGATGGGGGTGGACCCAGAACGAGAATTATTCAATGCTAACATATAGCATTAGCTGACCTCTCGAAAAACGTCTTTACAGGATGGTCCAAAAGTTGGCTCTTGGCCCAAAGCTCCGTTCCACATGTGTGTCAATGCTGAGGGGAGTGAATTTTTTTGGACCGGTCTAGTTTAGTCGCTGTGAATTTTTGAAGGCACTCGTTAAAGTAATGGGGCTCGTGCCGACTGACGCATGCGCAGATACGTTTTTTCACATTTTTAAACTGCCCATAGACCAATAGGGTTAGTTTTTACTTACTAATATGACAGTATGTTGATTTGTTCTCAACAAGTGCTGTTATTTGCTCAACAAGTGCTTAACAAGTGCTAAACAAGTTTGCTGTTATTCATGAAAAAAGTTAGTAACTTTAATCTTATCTAAATGTCCATTACCTGTGTTTTATCCTCCCCTTTGAGAACGGGTCTCTACATTTTGGTGTGCACTTTAAAAAAAGCTTCAATGATCCAACGGAGAAATGCTCAAAGCTTCTCAGACCATCTACTATCAGATTTGAAAAAGACTTATGGATAGCAGAAAGTTCAAATTCAAACTTTGGAGACTATTTTACAGAGTTAAAACAGAATTGGAAAAATTATAGCTATGTTTTCACACTAACAAGCAGCACCAGTCTGTAGAAGTGCAAACTGTATCTCTTTTAGCACAAAACAAATGTCCGAGCTCTTTCTGAAGCTGGGGTCCTGTAGTGTTGGCCTTGAGGACTCATTGACTCTCAATATAAGTGAGAACGGTCTACGCACAGCAAATTACGTGACGTCACTTGTCCACTAGCCTATAGTTCTAGAGTTAGGCTCTAACAGTAGAATGACCAACTGATGGGTTTGAATACTTTCACAGCTGAGGAACATTTATATTTATTTTGGACTATACTGTATATCTTATGTTTATAAATCGAGATTTTTGGTAGGGTTATTTTTGTGGTTTACTTTGACATTTGCATTTTTCAAACTTGAAGCTTTTTAATTCAATATTTCATCAAAAGAGAGTACACTTCTGGCTAATGTATAAACATGTTGTCTCATTTCCAGCTGTCATATTTTCTTTTCCACCCTTCTTACCATTCCCTCTTCTCTCTACCTCAGGAATCTCGATGCCCATCCCGGTGCTAGGCCTCCGCGACCACTCCAAAGTGTTCAAAGACGGCAGCTGCCTCCTCACAGACAACAACTTCGTCCTGGTTGGATCTTTCGTGGCCTTTTTCATCCCGCTCACAATCATGATGGTCACGTACTTCCTCACCATCAATGCTCTGCAGAACGAGGCCACTTTGTGCTTGGACCAACTCGTGCCACGACCCAAATGGAGCACGACTTTCACGCTGAGCTTCTTACCTCAAGTAACATCTATTTCGTCAGAGAAGTTATATAGGCGATCGATTGTACGGGAAACTCGTAGCAATAGCGTATCTGGAGCTCTGTTCGGTCGTCGCACCATGCAATCCATCAGCAACGAACAGAAAGCTTCGAAAGTTTTGGGGATAGTGTTTTTCCTTTTTGTTATCATGTGGTGCCCATTTTTCATCACAAACGTTCTGGCCGTGGTTTGCGATACGGAGGTTTGTAACCCTAGTTTGATGGCCGGGCTTCTGAACGTCTTTGTTTGGGTTGGTTACTTGTCATCCGCAGTCAATCCGCTTGTATACACACTGTTCAACAAGACCTATCGTGCTGCTTTCTCGCGCTACATCCAGTGTCGATATCAGCCGGAAAAGAAGCCGCTTCAGCTTATTTTGGTAAACACAATTCCTCCGTTGGCTTATAACTCGACACAGTTGCCGTTGAGAGACATCAGAAAGCTGCGCAACGGTGTGGTGACGTTCAGTGATGCAAAGAACTTCACTTTACCGGGAAGAAGTCAAGGCGGCAGAAGTGAGAGCAGGGTCTAAAATCACAGAGGACAATGCTGCTGATTTTTCTGAAGAGCGATCTAAAGATACTTCTGGTTGAACACGGTTTCCGGGACAGATTGGGAGCCACAGGGAGTACAAGATGTACCGAAAGAGTCAAAAGTGCCTCCTGGGTTGAAACAAAAGTATTTAGAGTGTAAACTTCAAAACCAAACTAATCGGGTTTTGGTCGAAGGTTTGTCACCATTACGTTTCTGCATTGAGTTAGCTCCCTGAAGTTTTCACCTGGTTTCACTACACACAATACATGATCCTTTGACGAATGGAGTGGAAATAGTTGATGTTACATCCTTAAATTGTTAAGTCCTCAATTGGCTTCGGATAAAGCTCGGTAAGGCTTGGGTCTTCTGGACTAATCTGCAACCAGCCTCCATATTTGTGTATTGAGTGTTTGTGGTAATCACTAATTAATGTTCATATCCTGATTTACAAGCATGAATAAAAACAACAGGCCAAAATCTCATGAATCAATGCCATTTCCATGGTTTAGTTTGAAAAGACACATGCATGATAAAGTTTGCTCCATTTTTAGTTACTTTAGCATTGTAATGAAACTAAAATCCAAATATTTGAGGACGAGAATAGTCTGACACCTTCAGGGTCCGAAAGTGAAATCCACCTTTCTATGCAGCCTTAGGGATTTTGTGAGGACTCCTAACTTTGTAACTACGTGATACCAGCTCAATGGCTATAAAGCCATCTAAAAGTCAGATGTAGGTGAAAAAAGCATGTTTGAGGTCAATCTAGATTTGGGAAAAAAAACAGTTTAACTGAGAGATCTTGGTACTACAACTTTGATACACAGCGAGGACATATCTTTTTTACACCAAATTCAGATGATGTATTATATTATTCTTATCTAAGAGAAACCTAGCTCACTAAAACCAGTTTCCAATTCTCTTGCGAGAGTTTTTATCATCAGGAAGTAATATGTACACAGCCTCTTTGACTTTTCTTCAACATTATGTCTTTCTTTTCGGCTCGAAATCTAATATGTCATGGTAGTTTTTGATTCCGGATCTTGGACTGAAAAGGGAGAGGCGGGACTACAGACGTCAATAAGCTCAGTGCAGCCTGCTTTGTCCATTGTTTGGTCTATGGATCAAACCTGACACTCCGTAACAGCCAGGAGGGTTATGGAGTGTCAGGCAAACACATTCCACAATGAATTGATCAGATTTGAGCGCTCCAGCTTTACTATTAATTAAATCCTTTTGCATAATTTACTCTTTTCAATTACCAACAGTCACCGGTCAGAAAGGACCTACCAGTGTGTTTCCTTAAAGAAAGACTTCTAAACGCCTGAAAAACCTTTTGTGGATCTCTATTTTGCAGCATATTGTCAAAGATGTTGTCATTTTAAGCAGAGCTGATGCAACGGCTGGATTATAAAACACAATGGTGCTCAAGGCTTCCACACTGCCACAGGTTACACAAGGACAGAAATGACACTATTTTTCAACTGATCCTTTCAAATCATTGAAATCTGCTTTAGCTCACACACAAATGGGATGGTAGGCCTATTATACAGAATTTAGGACATCTTTAAATATGACATAAAAGATACATTTCATATCAAGTTGGTGACTGAAATATTCCACTGTGTTTTCCTCCGACATTTGGAAAGTTTTCATGTCGATAAGGTAAGCGTTGTGTTCCCCTCGCAAATTAAAATCTAATTGATCAATCTGAATGATCTGATTGGTCAATCCATATAGATTTAGAGATCCTTTATTTGTCCCACAGTGGCGAAATTTCAGTGTACACGGCACATGCAACTTGAACAGTAGCTGTCCTAATTAAAATAAAACAAAATCTCTAACACTAGCATCTATAATAAGTATAAAAACTCTGTTTTGAAAATAATAGATTTAAAAATTTAACTGTGTATTCCAGTGCAAGTAAAGTGTGGTCTGTACATTAGCAGCTGTATATTGCACATTCAGGTATAAGATAGGGATATTGCACTCATGTAAAACAAGGATATTGCAACGATGCATGACACATGGAAACAGGTTGGAATCAGGTTGACAATGTTCATTAGTCCTTATTGTTTGTTGTACAGTCTGACAGCAGCAGCAAGGATGAATAAGTCTGTCACTGAAACTGCTCTCCAGAGCAGAGAGTGTCCTGCAGGGGGTGACAGTTTGTCCAGGACCCTCTTGTTCCCCACCTGCTGCACTGTGTCCAGGGAACAACCCAGGACTGAGCTGGACTTCCTGATGACCTTGTCCAGCTTCTTCATGTCCCTCTCTGTGATGCTGCTTCTCCAGCAGACCACATCATACAAGATGGCTGATGCCACCACAGAGTCATAGAAGGTCTTCAGGAGTGGCCCCTGCACTCCAAAAGACCTGAGCCTCCTCAGCAGGTAGATTCGACTTTGGCCCTTCTCGAAGAGTCCAGTCCAGTTTGTGGTTCAGATGAACACCCAGGTACTTGTAAGAGTCCACTCTCTCAATGTCCTTTCCCTGGTTGTTCACTGGGGCTGGAGCGGGAGAGTGACGTCTGCGGAAATCCACCACAATCTCCTTGGTCTTCCCCGCATTGATGAGGAGGTGGTTCCGCTGACACCAGTCCACAAAGTCCTGAATAACTCCTCTGTACTCTGTATCATCGTCCTCGGAGCTGAGTCCAATGATGGCAGAGTGTGCACCAGACAGAGAACATAGTGCACACCAGAGCTCCTCCCATGGCGCCATTTTTTTGGTGCCATGCGACAAACAATATACACAGCAGAGGGCAGTAACATACATTTTACAAAAACATTTTGATTGACATGTTAGTAAGTAAGTAATCTTACTGAATTTTTTTCATTGGACAAAAACTCTGACAGCCCTGCCCAATGTGAGAGGCCAGAGGGGGAATGGGTGCGGGGGGACTTAATAACATCTGCAATTGACAAATACTTCAAGCTCATGTCCTGAAGAAGGAGAGCATTAACATCTGGAGGTGGGCCAAGGGGCTATACTCTGGCGACCACTGCTCCTGACAGAGGCCTGAGTGAAGGGCCAAAATTCAAAAGAATAATTTCCCTACAGGGATGATAAAGTAAAACCTTAACCACACAGGGAGACATTGTTTTGCAAAACTTATGATGACCATATAATCCACAAAGTAGCCCCGTACAGTAGCTGCGGCCATGTTTTCTATTTCACTACAAAAATGTTCTTGATGCACGGCTGTTGGCCCCCTTCGATGTTTGCTGATTGCGGTTTATTTCGCCGTCGCTGTGTCCGCCCCATCAACATGCCCTCATAACTTCTCCGTCTCTATGAGAGTTTTCTCGCTTGTCGGGTTAATCATGTGGACCTGTCCTTGCCCCTTCTATGAAACTAATACTTTGGAATATTTCAGTCAAAAGCAACATTCACCAAAATTTTATGGCGTGAAAAGAATTTAATCGCAAAAAAACATGAACCTATTACCCAAACACCACTGTGATATAATGTTCCATCTGTGCTCAAATTGCTCATTGAGAATTGTCTCCCGGCTGTATGTTTACAGCCAATACCAGCTCCCAAATCCATTATTTTTCTCATTTCCTTTTATTGTAGTCTTCTTTTTCCACCCTGTCACTCTGGAAGATGTGGATCCTTAGGGATTACTGCAAATCGAACACATTTCAACCAGATTTGTGTAACTGCAGGACCTAGGTATGGAGAAAACCAGGTGGAAATTACACTGGGAAACATATTAGAAATGCCACATAGAGCGACACACACTACGGACTCTGTATATGAATCAATCTTTGTATCCTGTGCTTTGGAAAATGTGAATTTTTGTCCAATCGGAAGTCTGTTTTTGATGTAGTTATGATGATGAGTCATTTTTCATTCGCATTTTGCACTTCATTCCTTTCTATTGATGTGGTTTCGTGTTTTGTCCTGGTTTTTGGTGAATATCGGCGTAATAATTGGGACGATGTGAAAACAAAGACAAGTGTGATATCTTCTTTGTCAGAATAAATATGAAAAATGGAAGGGGTTGATTTGGAATTTCAATGGGGCTGATAAGTGATGTCATAAACTACTGAAATTGACTCAAATAATAATATCCGAAACATTAAATGGACATTTTCAGAGTTTTGGCTTCTGCCCTCCAACTGAACTATGATTTCACAACACAGAACAGTATATCCATTGTTTGGTTTGAACATTTTGTACCACAGATTTAAGCGGATGGACTTTTCTATAATTTACAATCAGCTTTGGTCTGGATCCATCACTTAATGTACTGTGCATTCCATCCATCCATCTTCTTCCCCTTAATCCATTTCTGGGTCGGGGGGAGTGGCAGTCAGAGCTGCACCCAGGTCATAGAGCACCAGCCCCTCACTGATCCTCCTGCAGGTGGTGAGTCCACAGGAGCCTTGATCTTTCAGCGGGAGCTTCAGGCAAAGTAGGGTTAAGTGTCTTGCCCAAGGACACAACGACAGCAGACTTCAGTGGGAGTTGTGAAATAGGTCTTGTGGTGGGCTCGAACCCACGACCTTCAGGCTCAAAGGCCAATGCCTTTTTACATTCCGTGAAAAACACCTAAAGCCGTAGAATGCGTGGAAATCTTTTGGCCTGGATTCGTCATCTGCATTCCTCAAAATGTTCTCATATTCCCAACGATTATATACATGCCGATTCCAACTCTGATTAAACATTCAGTAAACAAGGAGACCCCGCTCCCATCTCTGTGTGGAGTGAGAGGACAAATGCCCAAAAAATAACAATTGTAAACCGCTTTGTGACTGTAGTCTGTGAAATGCGGGATATAAATAAATATTACTTACTTACTTACCGTAAACTTACAACACTTCTATTTCCTCTCCTGTTTTAATGGCTGTTGATGTTAGCTTTGCATCAATGCTAGCAAAATGTTAGCTTTGTTTATCAGTTCTTAGAACCTTGTCTAACACCCATTTATATGGATTCTGTGCATATAACTTTTCTGTAAATTCAAATGCAATGCACACATTTAGTTGTTAA